GGTTTCTTCGAAAGCCAAATTGGTGTGCCGGGATGATATTGCAAGCTTCCAAATGTGGTATTATGCGAGTTAACAAGCATTTTTCAAACAGTTTAGACAAACAAGATAGAAGGCTTATTGGTCTGTATGATGACGGAATTGTGTGGTCTTTTCCAGGCTTCGGTATCATTATAATAATGGATTTCTTCCACTTTTTTGGGAAATAGCCAAGATTAATGATTCCATTAAATAGTTTGCAGACGACCTCTATAGCGCATTTTGGAAGTTCGATCAGCATCTTTGGGGTCAATAGGTCACCACCGGGAGCCTTTTTTGGTTTTAGCCCTCTTATGACTTTTTCGATTTCGTTCGGCCGGAATGGAGGTGCGGCTGGCTGAGGGGAGGACTCTGGCTGAATTACTGGCAGGAGGAATGAATTTGAGGCTGGGTTTGGCTGGAAGACACTTTGGAGATGTGTGGCGAATGTTTCAGCTCGGTCTTCGTTGCTGCGAGCCCAGCATCCCGAAGAGTTTCTTATCGGGGTGGTCGTTTCAATTGGGGCACTAAGATTTGGGTGGGCCCTCCACAGGGGGTACTTTGTGCTTGTTGGCGAGAGATTCTGGATGTACCTCAGCTGTGCATTTTCTTCCTGTTGGTGAAGAGCCTGGTCGAGTGATCGGGTTGCTTCCTTAAGGCGTTGTTTTGAAGCTGGTGATCTGCTGTTTTGCCAATTACGACGCGTGCGCCTCTTTTCTCGCACGAGCTGTTCGATTTGCTGATTAGATTTGAAGTGTTTGTTTCGGTCTACTTCTTTCCTATGAGGAGTAGAGATTTTAGCTGCCGCAACGAGTACTTCTTCCAGGGCGCTCGTAGTGTAGTCGATGTCCGATTCCATGTCCTGGGCTTTGAAGAAGCGTTAGAAGCACAGGCGAGTGGTCTGATGATAAGTCCGAGACTGCTTTGGCACTTATTAGATTGCGAGGTATGTTTTTTGTCACTGCAAAATCAATAAGGTCTGGGAGCTTTCGTGAGTCTGTTGGCCAGTATGTGGGACTTCCAGGGGAAACGTAGTCCAGTTTATTTTTCACATTTATAATTGCATTGTACAATTGTCTTCCTTTGGGAGTCACTAGACGTGATCCCCAGTGCGTATGTTTGGCGTTGTAGTCTCCTGCGGCTATAAATCGATCCCCAAGTGAATTGTAGAAGTCCATAAATTGTCCTTCCGAGATTGAGAAACGAGGAGGGCAGTAAACGGCAGCGATTGAAAGGATTCCGTTGCTTGACTGGATTTGTATCGATGTGGCCTGCAGGAAGTTTGTTGCAAACCTTTTGTGAAAATGGTGTTTAATTCGTTCTCTGATTAGAACTCCAGTTCCGCCGTGGGCTTTCCCATCTGGATGATCTGTGCGGTAGATTGTGTAGCCTCTTATATGAAAGTTGTATTTGCTTGTAAGATGCGTTTCCACCAGTAGCATAACGTCAATATGGTTTTCGGTCAAGAATTGTGACAATTCTAGTTTATGCCGTGAGACACCATTGGCGTTCCACATTGATATTCGTAGCGCCTGCATAGATTATTTGGACTGTTGTGCTACGAGCAGCTGTATCACCATGTTCTGGTTTTGAACAAGCGTTTGCATGGTCGTTTTCATGAATGACATAAGCTCCATCATACTTTGTTGGAGGGTAAGCATCATAGTTTCCGTTTTGCTGTGTGGCTGTTCTGGGGCCTGTTGAGCGCTTTGAGAGTTAGGCTGAATTGGAATTTCCCTTCCAGATCGTAGAGCATCGGCATAGGAGAAGCCGTTGGTGGTGTTTAGTGGACCGAATGAGGATCTCGCAGCTTTGGCGAAGAAGACGTCTGGCGTGGTTTTTGACGAAACGTACGCATTCTGTGGATTTTGGTTGCGCGTTGCGGTCGCTTGACGCATGCGACTCTTTAACTCCTTATACACAATACATCCTCTATAGTTTGCCGTATGGCTGCCTCCGCAGTTTCCACATTTCTTCACGGTACTGTCCTTGTTTGTAGTGCAGCAAGCGGACTTGTGGGCGTCCCCGCAGACTACACAGACAGCCCGAAGTGTGCAGTAAGACCTTGTGTGTCCATACTCTTGACAATTAGTGCATTTTCGCATTACCAATGAGGTGTAGAGTTTCCCCTGATAGTTTTAGAAGCCTTAAACTCGGTATTTTGTACTACCTAGTGAAGAGGATAAGTTCGGTCTTGGATGAATTCACTCCCATCCCGTTCGTATCTGCCCGTGATGAGACAACCCTCAGTTTTTCCGTCATGCGGTCGCACAGAGTTTGGGAAAATTTTCCAAAGAAGGCGATTGTGACATCATCTGCATAAGCACTAACTTTGCAACCACCACCATATAGGGATCACAGGAGGTTTTTACACCGCTACAGTCTTGTTCTGTTTAACAGTCCTATTGCGGGAATTCAAAGTTTTTTAGCGCCGCCCGAGTAAAGACGCCCGTGTAGATGCTGATAATTGTTTATTGTTTTCTTCATTTATAACAGGAAAGCAAGGGCTAACAGTGGTACAGTCGGTAACCACTCAGCGATAGCAGCACTTTAAATTCCTAGTAAATTAAAGGTTGTACAATTCATAATCAAACTTAAATATTAATATGTTCTCACTTTTCGTCCGCTTCCCTCGAGTGTCAAATAGAAAAGAAAGCTTAGGCACATGGTTACCGGGTGAGTTAACAGAGATTTAACACCCGCTTAAACTATCGGTTCTGCAACTCCGGCGTTGCCGGATGCTGCGGGAGCAGTTTTGCTATCTATCGTAACACTCCCCACTTGTATATGCCGCCAGGGATCTACCAAACTTCTCTCGATAGATAGAACTGCCAGCTTCGTCGCGGGTCTTATATAAACGCCAGATTGGGTCCTCACCGCGGCGCTCCTCACTTGACCGTCCGAGCTAAGGTTGACCTTTAGGATTCTTCCTTTCGGCCACTGGCTACGCGGCTGTCCTGGATCGCACACATACACGATATCCCCTTCTACAAGAGGCTTAGCCTTTTCGCACCACTTGGTCCGCCTAGTGATCACTGGCAGGTATTCTTGAAGCCATCGCCTCCAGAACGAGTCCGCCAGTTGTTGTGATTCCATCCAGCTCTTCTTGAGCTGCACTCCTTCGGGTAGGGGCTCCATCGTCGGTCCTCTTCCAGTTGAGCTTTTAAGCAGGAAATGATTTGGTGTCAGTGATTCTTCGTTCTCATCTTCCAATGGGATGTATGTTAGGGGTCGCGAGTTGACCTCCATTCGAGCGGCTCTCAGCAACTCATCCGATGGTCGTTTGTCAAGGAGGATTGTGGGGAGATGCGGGTGGAATGAACTTCCATGTCATCTGGGGTTCAGTGAACTCGCGAGATAGTAGATCCTTGTCCACATCTTCTAACGCAAAACGCAACTCCGTGCGGACTCCTTGAAAATGGGTGCCGTTGTCGCTCCAGAGTTCCACTGGGCACCCTCATCGGGCCACAAAACTGCGCACCGCTAGAATACAAGAGTCAGTTGTTAATGAATACGCTACCTCTAGATGTATTGCCCTTGTAGAGAGGCAGGTGAAGAGCACGCCGTATCGTTTTTCTGAACTGCGTCTGACCCGCACCATCAGAGGCCCAAAGTAGTCCACACCCGTGTACCTGAAAGGTCTATGAAAGGCTGCTACTCTTGGATAGGGAAGTTCCGCCATGCGCGGCGGTTTGGGGACCGCTTGTCGGTTATTGCATTGCTGGCAGGAACGTCGTATCCGAGCAAGGGTGGATCTCAGCTTTGGTATCCAAAATCTTTGTCGTAGTTCGTTGACCACCGTCTCGTGGTTAGCGTGCAGAAATCATCGGTGAAATTCTTTTATGATAAGCTGCGTAATGTGGCTGCCGCAGGGGAGTACGACGCGGTCACTTCCCTTGATCATCTTGGCACGTTCATCCAGCTTTAATACTCCATTGGAATCCATATACGGTCCCAGCTTGTATAGTAGGTTATTCTTCTTCAATGGTTTTCCTTGTAAAACCGTATCTCCGTCTGGTAGTACTCCGCCTGAGCGTACGACCAGAGAAGACTCTCCGCGACCCTGGTATCTTCTTGTGATGGCTGATTTTCGATGTCCGATCGTTGTAGAGCCTTGGCCTTCCATCGCCTCATACATCATACCGTTCTCGCGGTACTCTATAGCAGACGGGTCCAGATTGAGAACCGCTCGGAGTTTATGAGGGTCGCGCGTCCTACGTCTGTGAATCCGTCACATACGCCGATGAATTGCGCTTTCAATTCCATTCCTGACTCGTCTCCTTCTTCCGCCTCTGTCAGCGGCCAAAATTGCCTCTCTTACCAAAGAAATCTCGGCCCGTTCAACCATCGACTTTCTCAGTTGAAATCAGGTCCTTTGTTCCACTTAGTGGCGTCCGCTACGTTCTCGGAGGAAGGTACCCAGCGCCAGTCCTTGACGCTAGTACCGTCTAGAATCTCGATCACAATTGTTTGTACTTCCTCTGGTCCGATCGCAGCCAACTCAACACGGTCCTCGAGTCGGTCCAGAAAGTCCGTGTGCTCAGCTTTGCGCCAAGTGAAAGTTCCAGAGTTTGAGCTAGCCTCGCTCCAAGCACTGCTCCCATAAGTTCAAGCCTTGGTATGGATGTCGGTCTTAGAGGGGCTACCTTGGTTTTGCTGCCCAGTAAAATGCAGTGGATACCTGCCTCATTTTGAAATCTTATATAACTCACGGCGGCAAATCCATTTTCGCTTGCGTTCACGAAGGTGTGCATCTCCACTTCTGAATCCATCAGCGACTCCTTCATGTGGCATCTTGGGATGGTCATTTTCTCCACGTCCGGGATACACCGAAACCATCCATCCATCCTGTTTGCCATATTTCCTGAAATATTATTTTTGCATACATCACGTAGAAGCATATGAGCCCTAAAGGATCATATATAGACATCAACACACTGAGAAACTCTCGTTTGGTTTGTCGTTGCCTTCCTTGGAGAAGTTTTCTATGGCGATATCGTACACGGGGATACACGGTAGCGGATGAGATCTTCTTTCGTGTCCCACCACATTCCCAGCACCTTCTCGGTCTGTCCATCCGTTGTTTCGTCTAGTCTCACTAGGTGGGTGCGTTTTTTGGAATTCTCTGGAATTCGATACCCAGTTTCGAATGAGGAATCTGCCCTGAAGATGAATGTTATAGCTTCTTCCTCCGTGTCGACGCTGTCCAGCATGTCGTCTACATAGTGATTCTCCAGTATGCGTTTTACATTTCTGAATTTCTGTTCACGTACTGGGCACAGCTGGGGGAGCAACTAGCCCCAAACGTCATAACCTGCATGGCGTAGTTCTCTCTCCGTTGTGTGTTTGGGTCTATAAATACAAAGCGTTGGTATCTCTGATCTTCTGTGTGTATCCTGACCTGATGAAACATCTCGGCTATATCGCCGCCGATAGCAATACGTTTCTCTCTAAACCTGTGAAGTATTGGTACCAACTGCGCTAGTTGGTCAGGTCCTTTCAGCAGCATTGTGTTCAGCGAGATCCCTTCCGTCTTCGCAGCCGCATCCCAGACTATGCGAATCTTTCCTGGCTTGTTCACGTTAAGCACGGGAAAGATAGGTAGATACCAATATGGCTTTTCCTCAGCTTCTTCCGACGTAATGGGCCGTGCATATCCTTTCATCACGTACTCATCTAGCTGTCGGCGAATTCCCTTCGCAAGCTCCGGCTCGCGAGTCAGTTTCTGGTACAGGCATCGTGCACGCTTTAGGGCTGTAGGTAAACTATCCGGCAGCTTGTCATCTTTTTACCTCCAAAGCAGACCTGTTTCAAATCGGCCATTTATACGCCTCGTGTTCTTCTCCAGCTGCTGTATAGCCAATTGGTCATCATTGGATACGCTCTTGCTATTCATCTCTGGTCTAGGGCCGCCGTCCGACCACATGCACTGCTCAAGCAGGCGCAAGATTTCCTTGTTCTCGTCAGTTTCACATGCACATATGTGAAACACGTGGTAGTTTGGGGTTATGTCATCACCCACACTGTTGGAGCTTCTTCCTTTAATCGTCCACCCCAGGCGGGTCTTCTCAGCGATCGGTTCTTCTGTTGTGCCTTCCTTGGTGCGAAGCACGCGCCCTAGTTTGCAATTATTGAGACCTATCAAGAGCCTGGGCTGTGCTGAGTCGTATCCGGACAGTGGTAGATGTCGAAGGTGTGTGTGTTGTGCTTTCAGGTGGATTATATCCAACGACTGTGACGAGGATCAAAAGACTGGACCGAATGAACGTCGCAGAGATCATATAGCTTCGTTTGACCAATGCCGGAGATCCTTAAGTCCAGTCTGACCGAGCTGTCCTCATACCGGTGCATGCCGGCAGTCCACTGCATACATGGAGGCTGCGGTTGTCCCTTCACTCCAAGGTCTTCTAGCAATGGGGCGTCGATCAAGGTTAGAGATGATCCGTCGTCGATGAAGGCATACGTGTTGACTTGCCTACCATTTCGATACAAAGTCACTGGCAATACCCTGAATAGCATTTCCACACCTTCTTGTCGGTGTGCATGGCACCTGGCTTGGACGGGAGCCGTGCTGCCGCGATGCAACAGGGGATGATGGCGTTCTAGGCATCCATCTATTCCGCAAGGATTGGGGACGCCGCACCTTTCCACCTTGTGGCTCTGGAAACATCTCCAGCACAAGCCACACCGTCGAATGGAATGCTGGACACTCCTGCAGGGTCCTGCAATTGCGGGTGCAAAGCCGACAGCCTTGGCGCACAGTGTGTGTATGTACCGTGCCCCTTCTCTCCGTTCTTGACGACGAACTTGGGACTATCACATGGCTCGCTCCTTCTGCCATCTGCGAAAGCCACGTACTAAACTCTGCCAACGTACACACTGTTAGAGAGGCTTTGTGCATTCCCCAAAACGTCTGCACCATCGATGGCAACTTGCTCACTAGCTCCTGCGTGAGTTCTGGGTTGTTTAAGTACTGGTCCAACTTGGAGGCTTTCATCGTAGCACAAACATTTTGCACCTCCACCGAGAAGTCAACCAGCATTTCAAGCTTATTCTCCCTCACTTGAGGAAATTGTTAAATCCTTGTCACTAACAAGTCAATGATAATTTCGGGTCGCCCAAATCGCATTCTTATCGTGGCGATTATCTGCGGAACACAGTCCGCATGCAGCATTAGACTTTGTACTGCGTTCTTGGCTGGTCCTTCCAACGCATGCCGAAGCCGCATTAGGTTCTCGGCATCCGTGAATCCGCATAGCTCCGTCGTCTGTTCATACGTTGCGATGAATAAGGGCCAGTCCTCCGGCCTTCCGGAAAACTTCACCAACTCAGCCACGCTAGTCTTCCTCGCTGTCAATTGTTCGTACGATGGTCTGCCCACAGGTTTAGTGACCCTAGCAGCTGAGTTGTCCTCCCCACTGGTAGAAAAGAGCCATGGGGGCCCAGCGTGGGCTCTCTGCGTACTGCCGTTTCCTTCCACAACGGCAACTTCACCAATTGTATCCGTACCAGCATTCTGGTACCGTGTACTAGATGCTCCAGGCATCTTTTCTGCGTGGCCAGTCTCCGATAGCCTCTCCCTTGGGAGCTTGCCCATGAGCGCCTTTCGCCTATGTAGAAGCTGTTGTCGCAACTGCAGCAACTGATCTTCTTCCTCCAACAACCTTAGCTCCGTCTGCAGGTCCTGCGCTTTCTTGGAGGCCTCGTTGACGTCATTAGTTCCGATCCTCATCTGGTCGCCACCTGAGTAACTCTGGTAGTTGTCCCCAGCCGTCAGGCTGGTCAGCTTTTCTGTCCTGATCAACGTCGAGTTCTGTGCATGGACGTCTACGTCACACTCTGCACAGATCCATCCTACGCCGCCATCCTCTAGAGCAGCACACTTAGGATGGCACATGCTCACGCAGCCGGCGCCGATGCAGCCAACTGTCACGTGCTCGTCCTCCACTTCACAGAGGAAGCATGTCGCCACCAATCTTGCCTCTCCACCGGATCCAGTAGGCATCTCCATGTTGATTTCGTTCTCTGACTCAAGTATTCTCCAAGAATACACCAAAAAAAGAATTTAAAGAAATGTTGCGGGAATTCGAAGTTTTTTAGCGCCGCCCGAGTAAAGACGCCCGTGTAGATGCTGATGATTGTTTATGGTTTTCACTTATAACAGGGCAGTAAGGGCTAACAGTGGTACAGTCGGTAACCACTCTGCGATAGCATCACTTTAAATTCCTAGTAAATTAAATGTTGTACAATTCATAATCAAACTTAAATATTAATATTTTCTCACTTTTCGTCCACTTCCCTCGAGTGTCAAATAGAAAAGAAAGCTTAGGCACATGGTTACCGGCTGAGTTAACAGAGATTTAACACCCGCTAAAACTATCGGTTCTGCAACTCCGGCGTTGCCGGATGCCGCGGGAGCAGTTTTGCTATCTATCGTAACAAGTCCTGTTCGTCTACCCCTAGCTTTGTCAGGGCATTGGTTATTGAACATGGCGGAATGTTGTTAAAAGCACCTTCGATGTCCAGAAAAGCAAAAAGCTCGTATTCTTTGTCACTGAGTGCATTTTGATGAAAGCTAATAAGTCCCTCCATTGTTTTGAGAAGGACGACAGGTTTATTGGTCTAAAGTTCTTAGGGAAGTAGTGCGATGGTTTTCCCGCCTTGGTTATGAAGACAACTTTAGTCCGAAACCACGTCGCGGGCACTCATGATTACAGATTGCATCCGGCTTTGATTAATTTTGACGAGAAGATGGGACCTGTGCAGGGCTTGAAGCCGTTTATCGCCCAACTGAGATTTCTATTACGTTGGAGTATTCGTGGCTCGGGAGGGAGGAGCAGCATTTCCTAGGTTGTTTCTTCTTGAAAATACCCTGGGAAATGTGCATTAGTGAGAGCCACTAGCGTTTCCTTGCTGGACATGGTCCAGCTACCTTCCCAGGTCTTAATATATCCTTTAGGTACATAAGGATCAGTGGTTGCGAGGACTTTCCTAAGTCGGTAAGTCTTCGATGTCTTTTGAGGTCCAGGCATTCCTCTTTGCTTGAGGTTCGCTTTGTACGCCTCCCAGGCTACTTAAGTGTTTGCTTAGTTAAGTTAGGTTCTCAAGACTGACCACTAATTCTATGTATCGATGGTCCGTGAAGGAGTGCTTCTCTAGGACTCCCCATCTAACAATCCTGTCTGCCAGTGAGTCTGAGTAAAGAGTAATGTCAAGTACTTCTCTTCTGTTCTTGACGATGAAAGTTGGTTCTGTGCCCCTTTTACCCACCAGAAGATTTGAGCTTAGGATAAATTCGAATACTGACTCACTCCTCTCGATAGTGTCAGTGCTTCTCCACTGATGACGATGGGCGTTGCCATCGCACCCTATTATCAATGTCTATGGTCGCAAACATCGGATATAGTTGGCCGATCCTTATGAGTACATAATAATAAAACCAATAAATTAAAATAAAAAATCAAAAAAAAAATCCCAAGCTTCTATCTTCAAAAATACGAAAGTTGATATTCCTACCAAATACCATTTCCGATCGTTCAGTTATATGGCAGCTATAGGATATAGTCGTCCGATCCCGGTCGTTCCGACTTATATACTGCGTGCAAAGGTAAGTGTGTGTAAAAGGGTGTGTGCAAAGTTTCAAGACGATAGCTTTAAAACCGAGATACTAATTTGCGTAGAAACAGACAGACAGACGGACATGCTCATGTCTTCACTGCGTTACACACTTTTGACCAAAATTATAATACCCTCTGCAAGGGTATGACGTGTCACAAGCTACGGGAGGTTGGTTGGGAAGTGTTAATGCATCCACTTTAAAGTCCGGACGTTGCCCCACGCGATTATCATTTGTTTTTGGCCATGCAAAATTTTTTCGATGGACAAAAATTGAGTTCAAGGGAGGATTGTGAAAATGGAATCGCCAATTTTTTTTGCCAGTAGGGACAAGGACTTCTTTAGGAGAGGCATATACATACAAGTTATCATCAAAATTGCAGAAAATCATAAAAGGCATCGGTACATATAGCACTTAATTCGGACAATGCTAACTATGATAACATCTTCGTCATAAAATAAATAAAGAAACCGGTATGTCATTACCAAACAACCTAACATATTTGTATATAAATAAAAGTTTAGCTGCACAAATCAACTATTTTAAACAAACTATTCACATTGTTAGCTCTACTAATTTCAAGTACGAATGCGCCAAGAATTGAAAGGAGGGTGCAATATTCCAGCACAAGACGTAGATTTAATTCGTCTTTTCTAAACTTTCAATTTTTGCACAAATACCTGCGGTTCTGCCTTGGGATTCTTTAATCCCGCTGCCACTTTCCTCGTGCAGTCAATGCAGGTACACGGCATGGAGCTCGCTGGTGATCCTGGTGGCGATGATCCTTGGGTTGGCGGCTTGTGGCGGTTTCACGACGCGATGAATTTTTTTTTGAATTTAAACTTTATGTTTATTTTTTTTTAAATTTTTAAATATTTAGCCCAAATGTCCATCCGGGGGCGCCAAAATGTTAAATGAGATTAGTTTATCTCACACTGGATTTGTAACTATAAAAAATAAAAAACAAGAAAGGAAAGCTAACTTCGGGCGGAGCCGAAGTGTATATACCCTTGCAGTTAAAACCGGATATATATCGCAAACATCGGATATAGTTGGCCGCTCCTTATGGGAATATGAATATATAATCCAATTTATTACAATACAAAATCTAAAAAAAGTCCCAAACTTTTATCTTCAAACATACCAAAGGTGGTATTTCTACCAAATACCATTTCCGATCGTTCAGTTATATGGCAGCTATAAGATATAGTCGGCCGATCGTTATGAAATTTAATAGGTCGGATTAACTGACCAAAAATATAATCTGTACCAAGTTCCAGCTTTCTATCTTTAAAAACACGAAAGTTGGGTCATTTGGGGCAGCTATAGGCATGTTTTGGCACGAAATTTGGCATGTTGTATTATTTTGCCAAAAATAGCTCTCATGTGAACTCTCTAACTCTAAAACCACCGAAGTTATACCATTTCCGATCAATCAGTTATATGGCAGCTATAGGATATAGTCGGCCGATCCTTACGAAATTTCGTTCGAACTGCAGAACCTGTTTCGTGGCAAAATACAAACGCCATTCATCTAGGCAGGTGGTAGCAAAACTATCTATACCTTCTTCTGTGAGGGAAATCCTACACATTGATATTTTCTCAACAGACGGAACCCTTTTCCTTAGATGCATCGATAAATTCTCGAAATTCGCTACAGTGCAAACCATCGCATCGAGAGCTATTGTGGACATAAAAGCCCCTCTGTTACACATTATAAATTTCATCCCAAAAACAAAAACAATCTACTGCGATAATGAAAAATCACTAAATTCCGAGACCATTAAATCAATTTTGCTAGATCACTTCAATATCACCATTTCCAATGCCCCGCCTCTACAAAGCACCTCAAATGGTCAAGTAGAGAGGTATCATAGCACTCCAGCTGAAATAGCCAGATGCCTGAAACTGGAACGCAATCTAAATGACAATGTAGAATGATTTCTTTTGGTGACTAACATAAAAAATAATTCAATTCACTCAGTAACTGATTGCTTGAGGTTCGCTTTGTACGCCTCCCAGGCTACTTAAGTGTTTGCTTAGTTAAGTTAGGTTCTCAAGACTGACCACTAATTCTATGTATCGATGGTCCGTGAAGGAGTGCTTCTCTAGGACTCCCCATCTAACAATCCTGTCTGCCAGTGAGTCTGAGTAAAGAGTAATGTCAAGTACTTCTCTTCTGTTCTTGACGATGAAAGTTGGTTCTGTGCCCCTTTTACCCACCAGAAGATTTGAGCTTAGGATAAATTCGAATACTGACTCACTCCTCTCGATAGTGTCAGTGCTTCTCCACTGATGACGATGGGCGTTGCCATCGCACCCTATTATCAATGTCTATGGTCGCAAACATCGGATATAGTTGGCCGATCCTTATGAGTACATAATAATAAAACCAATTAATTAAAATAAAAAATCAAAAAAAAATC